GACCAAACAAATGTCGCCGTATTTTTTGTTATATTGATAATGATAATAAAATTCATCTATATCATGAAGTGACAGCTAAACAAATGTGAACGTCCGAAAATATCGACGGTGATGTGTATATTATCCTTCGACTGTGTACAAGAATATAATATTGGAATGAATATTGGAACATATGTGTGTTATGGGATAGACTATATTATATAATATAATATAGTGCGCTTTTATATTTTTAAAAGTATTGCTTTCAACTGTACCTAAATTTCACGTATTGGCTCTAGTGTACTTTGTATTGATTATTAAGTTCTAAATTGTTAACGTATTCCACACTGTACACATTTTAAAATACTTTTCAGTATGAAAACTCGTAACTTAGGATAGGCCAATGGATTGAACACGTGCAAATTCATCCCTTGGGAAGAATCACAATTAAATACGGGGTATTTGGTAGAATACAGAGGTGAAGCTTTGTTTTTTGTTTACCATTTCAAGATGGCTACCTTTTGGCATCGGACAGGTCTGGTTTCTTGCGCCACTGTGCCCTCGCGGTCATTTCTAGTGATCAAACACTCTGTATGAGATCTGTCCAAGGCTAAATATACAAAAGAAATCTGCCTAAGGAGAGGGAATGATTACACATGCTGGTGAATTCAAGGCTTCTTGCCTAGGAGAGGGCCTTGTAGACATGTACACTCGCATGTTTGTATGTTCTCTACAGACCCCTTCAGGTGGCAAAAATGCATGAGAAGTCATGATTATCATTACATAAATAAGTGCCTTTCCCATCCAGTTTAGCACAGGCATGTCAGTCGGATAAGCACGGTGACATTTATGGTAAGATTTTTATGACAAATCCACGACAAACTCAGAGCCAGGAATGTTCCAAACTAAACCCACTGGCTTTATCCTGAGAAAGTTCAGTAGATACAACAATGGAGACCCACCCGACTAACCGGCTCCTAGCTACGTACGTGCCAATTAGCGCCTAACCCGCGGCGCATTTGAGATAACCCGTCAGATTTGAGATAACCCTCACCTCAGACAGGTGACGGTAATCTCCAAGCAGATTCGGTAGTGCAGGGGGACTTTATGTTGGCCGCCTGTAACCAAACGTGCACAAAAGCTTTCCGCTCTCGCGCAGACGTATATACTGTGTACTCTTATTCGTAAATAATTTCATCAAGTTGGTAAACGAATGAATAGCACTGCAAAGTTCTTTGATCACAACCATTTATTTTTCACGAGCCGACATTTCGATGACCGTCCGTCATCTTCATCAATTCTGACTGGTTTTACTGTGCACTGACGCTAGATGTTACTTACTCATTCTCCATCGTGCTGACTGATGACTGTTTAAAATGTTGATTTTATACAACCAAGATGATACATTTCACGGCAAGATTATGCCAAGCAGCACATACTACTTTTACTGATACATGCAAGTACAATGCATATTAGTAACAGCACAGGCGCGTAAGAATGCCTCCCAGCGGAATGCAACGTAACCGCAACCTACTGTGTACGCAGGAAGACTGTAATTTAACTTCTGGCGAATTCTTTGACCAACTATCCATGACATTTCCTGTGTCGATGTAACACACCAATATCGCAAAAGGAAATAGCATTGGTCAAATCCGACAATAACTTTCCCAAACCTGTCGAACTTCTTTTGAATTGCAAATCCTGAGGTAGGGCTGACCCGGAAGAACAACAACGAGTGACGTAATGTTTTGTGTGAGTCTCAAGGCAAGAGACGCCCAACAACTCAAGCTGGCTGAGGCAAAGACTTTCATACCTTGTCTGCATTCGGTTAAGCAAGTCCTCTGTCTGTGGTGAACAGGTCTAGTCGCATACCCATCGTGCTTACATTACAAGTACCACAGGTGCTCCCAGTGACGGTCCAGGTAAACTCTGACCGACTTGCTTCTGACTATCCGCTCTGGTACAAAAATAGACATGATAGAGTGTTTAGTCATTTATATCATGACTAAATGTTTTCATACACTTCTTGCAGTGAACAGACGAGCCATAGTTCTGGATCTTACAAGTGGAGCCTTTAACCTGTAGCTCAGCAAGCGTCACGGCACATTTTTCTAGTCAAAGCATTGGTTAAACGTTAGGTCTGTTGGTGAGTTTGACGTCTGTAATATTTCTGTGTTTATGCCCTGACCAGACTGTAGTCACGACCTGTTGATGACACCATGGCTCTACAAGACTTCCTTCCAAGCGATGTTCCCATGACATGGCTCCTTCTGGCGCTGCTAGCAGTTCTCTTCTACCTGTAAGTTTGATTCATATGCATAATTATTATTATTACTGACATGGGGTTTCCGGAAAAGGTGGGGCAGTCCAGCTTGCCAGGCTACCATGCCAGGCTACCCTGCTTTGTGGGCACCAAGGACTGTCAAAAACATAATTTACTGCAGTTGAATTGTTGTAGGATTGGCCTCTACTGTATACTAGCACTTCCTTTAATAGTTGTCATAATTACATTTTGCAAATTAGGACAAGACTAGAATTTAACTTACACATTCCCTGCAGGTATGCAGTGCATCCCTTATGGACCTTCAAGAAGATGGGTATCCCTGGACCCACCCCTTTGCCCTTAGTTGGGAACTTGTGGTCATGGACTACAGTTGTAAGTATGAATTCCTTCTCGAAACAATTTCAGCTTCTCATGGCATGGTGATTCCTTATATCTAAAAAGTACCTAACAACCTAACACTTCACTTATCAGGTTTATCCATGGAGTGACTCCATGGTTTATCTAAGCTGTCTTGTATATTTTCAATCTATTTGAAGGTAGCTAGGGCCTTAATGGTGTGTTTCCTATTTCATTCCAGGAAAAAAAATAGAGTTGGTACTTATTGATAATAAGTACTTTGTTCATGTGCAGGGAATCTGGAATGCAGACGCGTCAAGACAGCGTGTGGAACAATATGGTAAAGTGTATGGGTAAGTCCAGAATATGTTTACTTAATGTTTTTTCCAGATTTTGGCTGGTGATCGATTATGAGGAAAAGGAAACTTCAATTCCTTGCAGCATGATTGTACTTATGTTTTTATACCTCTCTCACTAAAGGTTTTTCTTTGGACGTACTCCAACACTCATCATATCTGACCGTGAGATGCTCAGAGAGATCTTTGTGAAAAAGTTCCATGCTCTCACCAACCGCGCTGTGAGTAAGAGGCCTGCAGCAGTTGTTTCTGGTTAGACAGTCAAACCAATGGACAAGTCTTTTCATTCAGAAAAGCCCAAAATGCTGTAACAGTTATTGTTGTCATTTCCGATTCACTGAGTGTGATTCTATGATGTACCACTGTGCCATATCTACTCATAGCATATAAAATGTTGATTACACACCTACACAATTGATGAGAAAACAACAACAACAAAAATTTCCAAAATGCTGTAAATATTTCTCGGAGGTATGACTGTTCTTGGACTGAAGTCTTGTTATTCATTTCCAAACCAGAGCGAAAACCTGACGCTGGATACAAAACCCGGCGGCCGGATGCTGACCAATCTGAGGGATGAAGACTGGAAGGATGTGCGCAGTACCTTAAGTCCAGCCTTCAGTGGGGGCAAACTTAAGATGGTAAGGCCAGGGAAAATTCATCTTTTGTCTCCAAATAAAAAGACTCTTTTTTTTAACCCA